GCCAGAAAGTTGGAACCTCATTATCCCCATGCCCTTAAGGTAAAGTAGAAGGGGTTCTAGCACGAATCCTCCTCAACCCACGTTCCAACTTTCGGGGGTTCACTATCTTGGGCTTTCCAAGAACAGAGTTAGGCCCGGATCTCAAGCCCGAATTAATCCCTAAACCCTAAAAACTAAGCGCTAAACCCTAAATCATTAAAGATGAGTCTTGGTCTTGGTTCGGAGAAGGATCCCCTAAACCGTAAACCCTAACCTTAATGCCTAGACCTTATAATGCAGGGGCCTAAATACTTACCTATACTATTTTTGGGGCTCCTTATCACAATTATAGTGTAATGGGCCCCAAAACGCTACTCTAATTAGTAAGGCTCCTATATTACCCCAGCGTTTGTTAACTTGAGACCCATCCAGGCAGTAGAACTGTTTGAAAATTTCTTGGGCAGCAGTGGCAGGTAACAGGTAGTGCTCGGATATGCCGATTCAGAATACCCTAAACCCTAAGCCCTAAACCCTAAACCCTAAACCCCTGAACCCTTGAACCCTAAACCCCAAGCCCCCAACACGAAACGAACAAAAACCAAGCCGCAAGCCCTCCAAAACCCTAAACCGGATCAGGGTCCTTTAGTCTAGCCGTTTCAGGATAAGGCAGCCGGAAGGAAACCTATGTCGTTCGCTGTCGGCAAAAACGGAACTCATGCTCGCTTGGATTCCTAGAGGTGAGTTCTGGGGCATGGTATAATATAGGGGCCTTCATAATGACCTATCATATTTTGAGGGCCCCTTATTATAAATATATCTTACTGGGCCCCAAAACCCTATTCTATTTTTTACGGCCCGTCCATTACATCTGACTGTAGTGCCGCCCTGCCGCCTCCGACAAGTTTCAGTGCTCAAGCTATTCATTCAGGCGCCCGATTTGCCGGCGGCCATGAATCAGTCATTTCTGCAGAGCCGATGTGATGAAGACGGCTTCTTTGGGACATGGCATGACTTTCTGACGGTGCCTGAAAACGAGCATGGCGGATTCGTAGAAGTGAAGGACAAGAAGAAGCGCCTCGGCAGATATGCAGAAAGAGACAGAGAGAACGAGAGAGATGGCCAGCCAGCTCTTTAGATCGCTGGCCGGTCCTAGGTAGTAGGGAGACCCCTTAAAGGGGAGCCTTCTTGACTATACTTCTGGCTCTCTCAAAAAGGACCTTATTGAGAGGGTCTATATCCCCCCTAATCCCAACTCCTAGCTGGTTAGCTTGATTGGATAGTTAAGATTTAGATAGAACGGACGGACAAGCACGTAGGGAGGTAGATAGCTAGCGGGCAGCGAAGTAGATAGATAGATGAGCAGGTACAGAGATACAGAACCCTAAACCCTAAACCCTAAACCCTAAACCCTAAATAGATAGATGAACAGGTATAGAGATACAGATGGACACAGAGACAGAGAGAACCACAAGATACGGGCTCGTGGCATGCTGTGATTGCAGGTTGATTCCCTAAACCTCAAACCGTGCTGACAACCCTGCGTGGGTCGGCACAGCTACGAGTTCTAGGGTTTAGGGTTTAGGGTTTCTGTCCACTGATAGTTATGGCAGAGGTGAGAGTAGTGTTTCAACGAGTACTTGAGCGACTGGCCACGTCGTGTGCACAACGGACCCTGCTAGGGCCCCTAAATAGGGTTTAGGGTTTAGGGTTTAGGGTTTAGGGTTTAGGGTTTAGGGTTTAGGGTCCGGAACCCATGAAGCTTAGGGTGTAACCCTCGACCCTCAACCCTCACCCATGAACGAAACTCCCAAACCTCAGGCCCTGCGGTTCAAGTTGCCATGTTTAGCAAGGTTTGCATGAGGTTTTTGGGTGCGTGCATCAGTGGGTCCTTTGCTGCTACTGTTGGTGAATGCCTCTTCTTGGTGTCAGTATTGGGGGCATTAGTAACGAGACCCTGCTCCATGTAAACCCTAAACCCTAAACTCTAAAACCTCAACCCTAAACCCTAAACCCTAAACCCTAAGCCTAAACCCTAAACCCGAAACCCCTAAACCCTAAACCCTAAACTGTAAATCCTAGCCATCCCATTCCCAGACCCGAAGATCCTAAATCCCAGAAACCCCCAAGCCCACGGAATGAAAGTCTCAGAACCTGCAGGGTTTTACGATTCGGGTTCAGGGCTTAGGGCTTAGGGGTTTAGGGCTTAGGGCTTAAGGGGCTTAGGGTTTAGGGCGTTTGGGGTTAAGGGCGCAATCCCTAAGAACAAACCCTGCCTGGACCGAGGAAGAAGTATCTGGGAGGCCGCTACGGCGTTGCGATCGAGGAGGATAGGGTGCTGCTAAACCCCACCCGATGTATGTTACCTAGGCTTCAACCCTAAACACGAAACTCGAAACCCTAGGCCCATAAACCCTAAACCCGAAACCCCTAAATCCTAAACCCTAAAACCCTAAACCCTAGGCCCCTAAACCCGAAACCTCAAACCAGAGACACCCTGAAAGGCGTGCAAAGCAGAGCGCCGTGGCCAGCAAGGAGCTGCTGGCGATGCTTAGATGCAAGGGCTTAACTTTCAGGGTTGAGTGCTGGGTTCCTTAAGGACCAAATTACCCTGAAAAGTAGGGCGCTATGTAGCCTTATACTATGAGTCCCGAAATGGCATATGAACCCTAAACCTTTTCAGAGTTCTTTGCGTCCTTAAACCCTAAACTCTAAACCCTATAGAACCCATACTAGCCCTTATAAGAACCCTTAAAGGAACCCTAAAAGCAACCCTTTCAGGGTTCTTTGCGTCCTTAAGGTTTGGGCATTGTTTAGGGCTTATGATTGAGAGCCGGGTTTATTCCAGGGCATTTTCAGGTGGGTAGTTAGCGTTATAGGAGCCTTATAGAAGGTCTATATATCTTATGGAAGCCTTTTAGAAGCCCTATATACCCTAAACTCCCCAGCTGTAGTTTCCTAAACCCTGAACCCTAAACCCTAAACCCTAAATCCCTAAACCCTAAACCCTAAACCCTAAACCCTAAACTCCCCAGCTGTAGCTTCCTTTAAGTTAGGGTTTATGATTTCGGAGAGCAGGGTTTATGGTGCAGGAGATCAGGGTTTAGGATTTAGGGCTTTGGGTTAGTGTTTGGGGTCTATAGGGTTTAGGGTTTAGGGTTTATTATTTTTAGGGTTTTAGGGGTTTAGGGTTCATAGGATTTATAGGGTTTAGGGTTTAGGGTTTAGGGGTTTCGGGTTTAGGGTTTAGGGTTTAAGATTTAGGGCTTTGGCTGTTGGTTGGACTTTAGATTTTTGGTGGTAATGGAAATGCATGAGGTGAGATTTCGGCGCTGTATCTGCCAAAGTGTATATATATATATAAGTACATACCTGTATGTATTAGATAAGCATACATGCAATGCAAATTTATCTATGATTTCTGAGAGAACTTGTATCTACCAGCCAACCTGCTATCGTGACAGGCGCGTGCACATGGGCACTTGCTTGTGCAGTTAGACCCAGAGCATCTGAACCCCCAAACCCTAAACCCAAAGACTATCAGCTGACAGACTAAACAACAGAGTTTTGCCTTGTGCGCAGCTTCGCAGAGGAAGCTTCAGGACCAACAGAGCCCCATCTACCCTAGAGGGTTTAGGATTTAGGGTTTAGGATTTAGGGTTTAGGATTTAGGGTTTAGGGTTCAGGGGTTTAGGGTTTAGGGTTCAGGGTTCAGGGGCCCGTTTAGGGTTTAGGGAGGGATTCGTAGCATAAGTGTGTAGCGGCCCTACTACTTATAAAGTGATTGGGCCCTCAAGGAAATTATCGACCTCCTTGCTGACAAGTGCAAGCATCACCCTGCTGGGTTGGAACATATCGTCAAGGCACAGACAGATTTGGGTTTATGATGGTTTGAGACGGATTCGGGATTTCAAGCTGTGACAGTTGCCTGCAACGTTGTGTTGATGTTGCAAGCAGTGTCACCCGTGGTTACTTATGCTGCTCACTGCGTGCTTTCGGATTTAGAGGCTAGTGGCGGTTGAGTTTGCAAGACTCTTTGGTCTTGAGTCTTGAACAATTAACCCCGACCCCCTGAACCCTAAACCCTAAACCGCTGAAGCATCAACCCCCGCATCCTAAACCCCACACCCTTGTAACCTAAACCCTTATGTACTTCATCGAGAAGCCGAGTGTTGGATGATTCAGGCTGCCGAGAAAACTGAACAGAAGACGCACAAAGCCTTGGACAAAGGAAAGGAGCACAAGCTGCCTGTGTCTAGGCAGTTTTGGACACACTTTTTTGTTCTTAAAGGGTTTAGGATGCACGGATTTGTTTCGGCACAAACCCTAATTAAACCCTAAACCCTACTACACCTCTAAACCCTAAACCCCTAAACCCCTAAACCCTAAACCCCTAAACCCTAAACCCTAATGCTTGTTTTCTTATAGCAGAGATCCGAGGTTTGGGAGGAGTCGGATTCCTCGAGCTCGGACTGATGCGTTTCTGGACTTGTCGGTGGTTTAGGGCCTAGGGTTTAGGGTTTTAGAGTTTGGGGCCCGTGGTTTAGGGTTTAGGTATACTGGGTTCGTGGGGTTTCTATAATATGGGTTTTAAGGGTTTCGGGTTTAGGCTTTAGGGGTTTAGGGTTCCTGTGGTTTCTTTGTAGGTTCTATAACGGTTTCTTTGGGGTGCGCAGGGGGATTTGGATGGAAGTTTCATAAGGTTCTAGAAATGACCCATAATACGGCTTCCAGGTCTTCCAATATAGGGGCCTACCAGCTGCTTCCCTGCATTGGCTCATACAAGGTGAGCCAAGT